TATCTGGCCTTTACAATGACTCGCGTTGCCTACCGATGTATCGAGCCAGTGCTGCTATCCTCCCGAACTAGTCTGGAACCAATTTGCCCACCACTGAAAGATGGAAGGCTTGGTGAGACATGGGGGTAGGGATCTACTCCATGCGTATTGCAGAGCGCCTTTTTTTTTATAAGAAGAGGGAACCAGTTGTAATATGATAATAAAACAACTGGCTGAAAAAAATTTATTTCAGATTTGCACACTGAACTACTGTCCAGTCGAAGTAAATTGTAAGGAGCAGTTCTTAGCAATAACAATCTACAAAAAAAGTGTTCCTACGTCTTAAAATCATGATGTGGAGCTTCACACAACAATACATTCGAGTAATGCGAACAGTTATTGTATTGGCACTGAAAACCTTCATACGTTTATAGCGTTGGCGTTTTCGTATGTGCTTGTATTATTAAATAAAACTATTTCGACAGGGAATGAGAAAATTGCTGTCCAAACTTCCTCTGAATTCTAGCCTTACATGCGGCATCCAGAGCTGCCGAGACACGTTTGACAGTTCGAGGATCGAGGAGTTTTTTCTAGAAAAGAAACAAAAAGACTGATATCACCTTGCCAAGTACATGCATTGTAAAGAGAAAAAAAATACCTCAAGTCTCTGACGGACAGTTAGGTTTCGTTGATTTCTCTTCTTTGACTTTTTTACAAATGCCTGACCAGTGCCCGCTTCAAGGTCCCTGTAAAAATTAAAAGTTATGCTTAGTTTTTTGTACTGGAATGAAGATGTAGAAGTCATTACGGGAATATAACAGAAAGAAGCTAAAAAAGATAAAACAAAATGCAAACGAGGACATTAGATATTCTTCCTCTTCCTGCTGCTCTCGTTTAGCTTGGACAGCTGTTGGTTCAGCAGTACTTATCTCTTTCAGAGGAAATCCCTCATCATCGCGGTCAATAATGATACCATGCAGTGGGCACCTTAAAACATAAAGTTTAATATATTTCGCTACGTTGGGGTACTGCCATCCCTACTATTAAAGATATTAGGTAACACTCCAAGAATATTCGTCCTCTGCTGAGAAAAGCGAAACGAAAAATTCACATGATGTGGTTGTGAAGACGTTAGCCCCCAGAAAGGGTAATAGCGTGTTCACTTCCCACCGCAGACACGAGCAGTCCAGAGTTTTGCAAATATCTCGGCATTATCATGGTAATATTCGTTCTCCTAAAAATTTTATAGAATTGTAATGCGATGCAACATACTTATGCAAATCCATTCTCGGGCAGAGTTTCCCACTTGGCAGTCTCGCCTTACAGCGTTTATCCGCTCGCCTAGGCTCTCCAACCCATGTGATCATCCTAACTTCACCCATAGTTGCTTCTTTTTCAAAAATTCCCGGTCTAAAACATCTGTTTTCTTGCAGCAGCTTGAAATACCACTAAAAATAATAGCATTAAACTACGATGTGAAAGAGATAACCGATCGTCGTCTTCCGGAGGTCTCCAGAAACGGTGACAATCAGCGGTATTACGAGGTACTGGTGTTTGTGTACGACGTTCTCCCCAGTATTTCAAGTCAAGGCCAAATGGAACCACGGGTATACGTGACACCCGCTGGTCTTCCTCCTTCATTAAAAATGGAATTTATGACCGTATAGTGTTACATCGCAAAGAAGATATTCTAGACCACATTACCTTTTTTGCGTCGGGAACTTTGGCATCTAAAGATTTGCTACAACATGGTTGGTTGACCGATTCCTTGTCTTCCAACTCCTTCACCCGTTTTATAATGTGTTGCGGGATTTCATCGGGTTGGACAAAATCTTCCACTGTAATGAATTTGGTTTACATTTGGCGAAACAGAATTCCATGATGCAATGGGACTCAATGTTAGATAGCAGGACATCCTACCTTGCTTTTCTGGCACTAGTTCGAGATCACTTTCTTCACTGTCGCTGGACTGTGTACCCTCAGAAATCCGCTTTTTTGGCTTCACCTTCAGCTCATTTATTTTTTGGCACTGCTGATCGATTCTTCTTTTGAGAGTCGTCAAATCTCGTATAAGTAGTTCAACATGAGGCGCTCCATTAATCTTCTTCTGCCAACTGAAGTTATTGTGATTGTGGAGAATACATTACAACAATCTATAAAGAAGACATTAAGTGGATGCAACGTGGAATCCACACCTCACAATGTTCTTCCTGTATGCATCCAACATAACTTTAGAGTCCTGTAACGCTTCAATTAATGTCTCATTATCAGTATTGATAGAAATCTCTGGAGTCAACGATGGCAGCACTACTGAAATTGTATCGACACCAGAGTATCCATGCGTCGCTAGCTAAAAAAAAAATTCACGAACACAGAAGGCCGATACATTCTAACGGCACGTGTCCATAATCCAAGTAAAAATTGTCGCACAGAAGCACAGAAACAACCTCGACATTGTCTGAATTCCACAAATTAACGCTGTTCCTTCCAGAATTCGTTTCGCTGTCAGTGCCGAACACCGGGACGAGGATAGAGAGCGCGGTCTCGGCAGAGGCTATGCACCGCTCGATGTCGATCTTTGTCTCATCAAACTTTCGACGGACATTAAACACAATCTGAAGTGTACGAAAGAGAAAGAATACTATATACGACTCCAAGGAGTTCAAGAAACTCTAGGAGATTGCAAATACCTGCTGGGCTCTCGCCGCGGCATGTTGTTCCTCTTCCGCTCTTCTCATCCTCTCAGCGAGCAATTCGGCAGAAGCAGAATCAAAGTCTACACCCTATGTATGCTTCGAGAATAATGTTTTGCATGTTCTTCTGAACAGTGCAGTCCGTTACCTTAGACTGCCTTAGGAAATCTGCTACATAGTTCAACTTCTCATACCCAGGACCAAACCTCTCGTGCCATTTTTTGACTGCCGCTATAGCGTAAGCCTTAAAATGAAATAAAAAGAAACAGCAGGTTTTATTTATAAGTAGGACGCAGGTCTAAAAAGAATAGTAATAAAATCCGACAGCTTCTAACCATAGGTAGACATACCTTTAAGTTTAGAGCTTCGACACTGGGGCCAGGAAGTGGATAACGTAGAGGATTTGTTTCACATACTAGAAGTAGCAGCTCCGAAAATTGCAATACTTAAAACAGTAAAGGATTAATCTAGGGGCATCCCAACAAACGAACCTGAAGTCTCTCCACTGTGTTTTCGCGAAACAAATGAGAACGATTGAAGAAGTAGTCAAAGAGTGACATTAGAGCTTTTCTTCGTTTAGAGTTGAAACGCTGGAAAGCCTCAATTTTAACACTGGATAGGACATTAACTATCAGCTGAACAGGCTGCTACAACGAGATCACCTTGCCTTACCACTTCAGTGATACGGAACCAGAACGACTACCTACCAACGGAAGTGCAAAGAAGAGTTTGAACACTGCCTATCGACGCCACGCGAACTCTACGAATTTTACTTGGATACTGGGACGGCCCATCCTCACTAGTTCTGCGGGCCCCAGCATAGTTTCCACTTTTTGGAGTTTTGCTAGTTTAGCCATTGCGATTCTCTGGAGCGCCGAGGTCAGGCTGGCCAAAGTCTGCTCCAGGTCGTCATCAGAGGGAGATTTGCCACCATGCGACTTTAATACCAGGACGGTGGTGGCTCCTGGTATTAGTTTACTCTTCGCAAGGCTTCCTAATGGAAACACCGGAAGACCCTGCCAGGGGATGAATCCCCGCTGTCCATTGCATTCTGACACGAAAGAACACCTCCCAGTCACGATGAGGCGGTAAACTGTTGGAAGACTCTACGAATTCACTATTCTTAATTATTTCTAAACTTTTGGATTCTACACCACGCAAATGCAAACCTCGGGACTCCCGCTACCCACAATGGCTAAACCAGCAAAACTCTGAAACAACAGGAATTATGATGGTGCCCGCAAAACCAGTGAAAACTGGCCGTCGAAGTATCCAGGTATCCAAATATACCACGCAAATGAATACGCGGACGAGATCCACATTAAGGAACTCGGGGAACGTATAGTTCAGAGACAAATCTACCGTCGGCGCCTCAGGGAGCCAGCTGTGTAAGAGCTAACTGCTAGAAGCAGCAGTTCAGAACTGGTACGCAAATACGCAAACTTATCGCCACCTAATATTTTAAGATTAAAGCGAATTGTTTTCCTGAAAAAAGTTCCCCAAGGTGTTGTCGTATGGCTATACGTTACCTATTAACGCACACAACGCTGGAGGTGAGCCAAATACGACTTAGTGGCATGAAAAACTCCTACCGGTTTTAAATTAGCACGACTTTATGTTTAAGCAAACCACCGCTACACGGGAGAAGGTTGTAGCAAAAGAAAAAAGTGATAACAAACCTTCAGTAGTGTCATTAGTGAGTCTACGTAATCCGGAATGATACTCTCATTGGTTCGAACTTCATGCTTCAATCTCTTAAAGTCTCGAGAATCGGTAGAAATTGTGCTGTCATTCCTCCCAGCAGCCTAAGCGAAAACCTCCCATTTGATGAACATTCCTGGGAAAGGGGATACCAGCAGCTGGATAGCGAAGCGCCTATTCCCACCTCATTCACCAACTTAACAGTAACTAATCGCAGGACCCTTAGAATGTCATCCGCCATGATTACTAGCTACTTCTTCTAGATTTCACCATTCAAACCGAAAGCGACGGATCCAGACAAATCCTCGACGAAAGAGTTCATCCAGAAACAGCAAAGAGAACGGCGACCAGCACAGCCGATGTAGTTGGCATTTCGGTAAAGCTAGCGCGTTTTCCATACCGTTTTTTGGAATAACGTTGGGTTATTTTCACCTACCAGTAATACCTTGAAAACAAAACATAGTCAGATCACAAAGTCCACGCTATATCGAGTGTTTCGGGTTTTTCAGGTTTCTATTATTCGTATGAACTTTTGCCAGTACACCAGCACCATCACTTTATAGAGAGAGTGCGATTTTAAAAAGTTATCGCATCCTGGTTCTGTGTATTCCATGTGTCTTCTTCCAGATGCTGCGCTTTTTATGTCGTGTTTTATTGGCAAGAAATAGTTCTCTGAGGACTCTTTCGACCGCAACAGACATTGAGGACGATGATTCGAAACCTTGGATTAATCCATGGAAGCACGCAGTACCAAAAACAAGTAAGTGGAGTGGTCGTCATTCCTCTTTGTTGCTGGCTCTGATTTTTCGTTACGGCTTCATTCGTCTTCCCGTTCGTACTTTTTAATGTGAGAACCTTATAATTTTCGGGCTCCTTTTTTCGCACTGCTTGCACTTTTTAGCGTCAACGTTCACCTCAGTAGAGGAGTGTGATATTGACTGGTCGTTTGTCGAGCGATTGATGCCTCATGACGTCGTTCCACCTCTGCCTGTCCATGAATCTTATCCGACACCAAGTGGTTGGCAACCACCTAAAGGCACGTCCTTTCTGCCTCTATTGTTAAAAACGTCAATAAGATGTTCCGGATTGCCTTTGTGTTGTGTACACTGCGGACTGTTATAGTTGAAAGTAGTGATAAAGGATAAAGCATTGTTTAATCCTTGAGGGATGCACCATGCATTCGGCTTTCCGAAGCAACGTTAGAAATGACTGAATACATATCTGAACTATATAATGACTTGCGGTGGCTTACCTATGTATCGAGCCAGTGCTGCTATCCTCCCAGACATGTCTGGCGCCAATTTACCGGTCCCAGAGGGATGGAAGGCTTGGTGAGTCTAGAGCGCGGGGATCGAACCCATGTGTATTTAAGAGCTCCGACCATTGCGCTACACGCGCCTAATAGACGCGAAAGTCGTGGTACTGCAGTGAACCATTACTTCGTATTACGTCGTGGTCCTGTTCGCCAGTTTTAGTTTCATCTTTCAGATCCACCGCCAAATCTTCCATATTATGTTCGCAGAAAGCGCGATCATACGTTGCCTTTGTATTTAAATCTGAAAAAGGACCAGTTAAATGAGAAGACTCTTGATATCGATCACGTTGAGTTGGTAACTATGAAAGGCATCGATGGTGATGTTTTTGTAAGTGGAACCTCTCCGTTTTCTAGCCGTTTGCTTATTTTTTCTCACTAATAAAACCGTTTTCAAGGCCTGTGAAGCTGATCTTCGACAATTCCTCGAGTGTGAACTTAACAGGCCTGTTGCGACCCATATTGATGAACTGAAGGGGAGAATTGTTATCAAGGGTGCTGATCGGTCTTTAGTTGAGAAGTTCTTGTTCTCCAAAGGATTTTAAGATCAGGACTGAGGTGGTGGTTATACGAAGCCTTTTTCAGATTGCTTCATCATATTTTAATAAGTGTATTGAAGTTGTCTGTTTTTAAGCTAATCGTTTTACTGTATTGTTATAGTTGTGAAGTGAATTTGTGCCACCAAGTTTTGGCAAATGAGTGTTCTTTTAGGCTTTTTGTTAGTTTGTTATTAAATATCTCGCAACGCTGTGTTTATGTGAAGGAGGCTCCGGTTTTATCCAGCACCTATTTTCTCAGGTTCAGAGAATATAGTGGATCTTGCCTTAGTTTTTAGATAGTTCAGGATCCTAATTTTCGTGGATTGTAGCTCACTATTCATCACAATTCTTATATGACCATATTGATTAGCCCATTCAGCATCATTCAATGTCAATCAGTTAACGAGGATTCAGTGCTCTTCCTCAGATCCATTTTTCTATTCGTTTTGTGTTTTGGTTCATTTCCAGTGTTGTTCAACGTAGTCACTTCTATTCTGTTTGACTTGCCTCTCTTTCCACTTTAATGTGTGGAATACGAGTTCCAGTTACAAATGGAAGTAAATCCTGTCTTCATACAACAGTGCTATAAAGTTTTGTTTTAATAATGATCTTAGATATATCGTTTTGTATTAAAAAAGAAATCTACGTCCATTAACACAATGAGAGAACATTCTGCGAAACCATGGTACATGTGTTCTTTACAGTGTTACAGTTCCATGTGAAGAGCTTCATAACAGTGTAGTGACGTCAGATGTCTTCGTTATGTTGTTCAAACTGCTATACGAAGTATTCGGTTTTCAAGCCTGAAGTAAGTTTAGTTGTTTGTTGCTATGGTTTCCCAGTTGTTTGGGGTGAAGATCCAATTTCATTATGTTTTACTGCGTTCTTCAAACAGTGTCAATTCCAACATTATTATTTACTGCCTATTCTTTTTAACCTCTGGATATGTTGCGAAATATAACTTCTATAATGCTGAGATATTTGCAAAACTCAAGACCGCAGGTGTCTGCGGTGGGGAACGAACGCGCTATTGTCCTTTCCGGGGAGTAAAGCGTTCACCACCACACCATGCGGGTTCTTCGTTTCGCCTGTCTCTCAGCTAGTTCTATCGATCTTGCGATATATTTCGCAACATACCCTGCCGTTAAAAAGAATAGGTAGTAAATAAGAAGGTTAAGATTGTGTTTATAACTATAGCCTCAGCTTAACTGGGTTCAATGCCGATTTAGGCTCCTTAGATCAATCCCGTTGACGGGTGATTGCTGATGGCAAAAGATCGATAGAACTAGCTGAGAAACAGGCGAAACGAGGGACCCGTATGGTGTGGTGGTGAACGCTTTACTCCCCGGAATGGATAATGACGCGTTCGTTCCCCACCGCAGACACCTGCGGTCCGGAGTTTTGCAAATATCTCAGCATTATAAAAGTGTCAATTTCCTTCTGAACATTGTTCGACGAGCCCGGTAATGGAGCTTTGTCTCGCACTCAATCTTTACTGGTTTACCATGTGGGTGGGATGATCGTATAATTTTGGATGCCTATCCTATACGCTTGTTTCATTTGCTTTTTCCGAGTGAGTAGTCATGGTAAAGCTGTCTCAAGCACTATTCTCTAGCTTGAAATACTAAGCGTGCTTCTGCTAATCGCTCTAGCATTGTATATAGCCGTATGGATCATTGAAGTAAGCAAGCTGGATAAAATGATTAAGCTCTCTACGTTGGTCTTCGTTAAACACCGTCTGGAGGTGAATGAATGCTTATCTGGACTTATCAATGACTCGCGGTGGCCTGCCGATATGAGTCACTGCTGCTATCCTCCCAAACTAGTTTGGTACCAATTTGCCGGCCCGGGAGAGATGGAAGGCGTGGTGAACCTAGGACGCGAGAATGGATCTCATGCGTATTGCAGGGCGCCTCCGACCACTGCGCTATATGCACCTCTGCGAGCTGTATACCAGTAGCATTCGTTCCCGTTATTGTACACCAATTTTTCCTAGTACGTTTGTACTGCGAGACGTCATAGTCGCGTTTTTCATGTAGAATATTGTTTAGTCTTTTGGTTGTTCTGTTCATTTGTTCAGTATCTTAGCCATCTCCTTTTGGCGCATAATTTTGATTTTCGTCTGTCTTTATTCACCGTTACCCTGAACACGCTTTTTCACTTCCGCTTAAGAACTACGTGAAAGCATTGTTTTCTCCACGGGTTCCACTTACACTACCCAAAACTTCAGTTGATATGTATGTCATCCCAAGAGGAGCGATGAAATTCTACAAATCCGAGCGAGCTGGTGAATGCCACCACTGTTCCTCTTGGTTTAATTTGGTGTCGGTCACCGCAATGAACTTGGTAGCTGCTCATAATCGTCATTTTGTCTGCAACTCCTAGTATGGGTTTTTCAGAGCTTACTATGTCACCTGCTCTCCAAATAGTCGTTGTGCTATGTGGACCAGTCCACTCTCCTTGTGTACCAAAGTTGGTTTTACCTATTCAAGGACTGCGAATATGGTATTTTTTCTTACCTTGTTCTTCTTTAAGTGTGACAACTGAGCCATCCGTCAGTCAGCCTGTTGTGCGTTTCGTATCCAATAGAATCTAGTTATTGACGATGCTAATTCAATAGTTAAGATGACCCCTTCAGCTTACCCAACTATCCTTAATATAACCATAACGTTGCTGAGATATTTACAAAACTCTGGACCGCAGGTGTCTATGGTGGGGAACGAACGCGCTATTGTCATTTCCGGGGAGTAACGCGTTCACCACCACACCATGCAAGTCCTTTGTTTCGCCTGTCTCTCAGCTATTTCTATCGATCTTTGCCACAGCAATCACCCGTCAATCAATATCCTTATTATATATGGTTATATATTTGGAGTTCATTCATTAGCGTTAATCGGCACTTTGAATTATTCGTTAGTGCTAATCTTCGGATGAAATCCTAGGAACTGACCAACTCATTTGGTCCACCGACCTTTTTTATCTCCGCAATTCCCCACCAATCACTTTACTGATCGTGGTGTGTAACCTTGTAACAAAGCCTGTCATGACACACATCTCGAAGAATCTGGATCAATTCTAATCTATGGATCAGATCGAATTTCGCCAAGGTTTCAGCTACAGGCGTGATATTTAAACTTCGAAGATAATAGAAAGTACAGTCCAATCCCTCCGCAACAGTCTCTATGTTCCTCTATCGTCATTGAACCCATGCAGCCCGCCATAGGACGAGTGACATGTGACTCATGCCGACAACGATTGATTAGTTGAATCAATATTCAAGAAGGGCTTTCTTACACTGACACTGAATAGTTCACCCAGCTCATCCGTTACCGTGTATTCCAAAAAACGTTTCTTATCAAATAGCAGACGTTGATATTGCTGCTTGTTCTTATCTCCGTTAGTATGATGCGTATAACTGATCCATTGAGTATCACTTCTATACTTCATAACTTCAGCAGAGGTGTCTGATGATAGCAAAGAGATGGATAACCTAAGTTGCTAGCATTCTTAGGTTTTAATCAAACTCTTCTTATAACCGATGAAGTGGTCGGCATCCAACTGGGTGTAACTCTGCTCTTGTTTGGTCGCATAAATTATCCTCATATCGCGGCATGGAAATTAAGTCGACTTTTTCTTTACTGACCAAACAATATCAGCAACTATTCCAGCTTACACTTCTTTCGAAGTGAATATGATATTTAATAGAATGATTTTGCTTGGAATTTTATAGCGTTGTGATAGATAAAATTGTGCATTTTTTCTTAGATAACTGATCTATAAAACTTATGCGACAAAACGAGACCACGCAAATTGAGTGCATAAACATGTGTACACATCTACTGGAAGAGGCGCCCTGCAGGATCGATCCCCACGCCCAAGGTTCACCACCCCCTTCATTTTTCGGGGTCGGCGAAGTGGTACCATACTTGTCTGGGAGGATAGCAGCACTGGCTTGATATCCGCTATCCTTTTATACACCCAGTAGATATATGAAGCATTCAACCCTTCACAAGCAATGAATCCACACTCTGATTACTCTGTGTCGTTACACATTTCCGGCTACATTTAGCTTCCGTGGTAGAACGTTTACTTTTTTTCTGCTGTGCAGGAAGAGAGGGTTGAGCATGAGTTGGAACCAGAGCAGAAAGTCTGTTGTGCCTATTCTAAAAATTTCATTGAGCACGCTTGCCACCGCGTTAAGTTTTTAAATTGCTTCTTTAGCGCAAAAGGCATGGAATGACTGGAGAACTTGGGTAGTTGTATTTGTGCAACAATGACACCTTAGCGCCGTTATCTGTGGTGCTCTTCCCAGCGGAGGCATTTTGCATTTTCCTGTGGTATTTCGAATAACGGGCATTGATTTCATTGCATTTCCTTTGCAGTTGTTTCTTTAGCCTCAAACGCTTCCATTTTTTCTGCAAAAATGCTTTTTGTGTTCTACGGATACATAAACTACGGAAGATTTTGCATATGGCATGGTCCGAGCAGTTGTCTCACGTGAATCACATAACGATAAACTGCGTTTTATTGACAGTAAGGACGACATACATGTCCCGTACATGGGGCAATTTGGCCGACGCAGCAGCGAAGAGCTAAATGATTATGATATGCGGAAACCACACGAAATTACTCGTGATGTTTCAATTTTTAATAATGGTGTTGAAAAAAGGTAAAGATAGGATAGGATCGTGCAACAAAACTTTCATCCTGGTTCCTTATATGATGAGAGAAGTACTCTTAGTCATAAAGTGGCTCAATCATATATATTGCAGGAAGGTTGTTCTAACTGTGCCCTTTCGTTCTGCCGAAAATGTTTGCCACATCGGGCACTTCTGCCTCATTTGGCAAACAAACCAGTAAGTGTATGTTCTCAATGCTACAAGAAGCTGAACGAGCAAACCTTAATGAACCAGAAGACCAGCGGCACTCAGGTGCCTTTTCTTTCTTTCTATCAAATATGTTTTATACGTACTACTGAAGTTTGATGCTAAAGCTCTACAGAAGACCAAATTTATTAAAAGGATAAAGGACAAATCTCTCGGCGTTGATCAATCTCTAAAAGATGCGCCATGCATTAAACTTCATCAAGCATCATTGGATGTGACTGAATGTATATCTAGCCTTTACAATGACTAGCGGTGACCTACTGGTGTATCGAGCCAGTGCTACTATCCTCCCAGAGAAGTCCGGTACTTTTCCGACCACGGAGGGATAGAAGGCTTGCTGGGCGATGAGAGCGAGGATCGATTCCACGTGCATTGCAGGGCGGCTCCGACCGCTGTGCTACACGCGCCCTTATATTGAAATAGAAGAATGAAATACTCGCGAAGTTGTGTGGTATTTCACGCAGGCGTTCTTATGCTGCAATGCTCCTTTTTATCAAGTAACCAATACTAACCATAATTCACCGTTCGTTAGAGTTAGGAATACTGCAACAGCCTAACTACTTCCGACAACACAGTACTTGCAGGGGTGATAACAATATCTTCTATGTGAAATACCACCACGACAATGCTGAGATATTTGAAAACGCCGGTCTGTAGGTGTCTTCAGTGGGAATCGAAGACGCCATTTACTTTTCCGGGGGCTAACGCGTTCGCTACTACACCATGCGGGCCCTTCGCTTTGCCTTTATCTGAGCTAGTTATAGCGTGTTCGATCATCGCCGTAGACACCTACGGTTCAGAGTTTTGCAAATATCTCAGCATCGTTGTGGTTGTATTTCACATAATACCTTGCCGTGAAAAGTTGTAGTAGGCAGTAAATAAAGTAGTTAAGAATGCGTTTTATATATACGTTTTTTTTGTATATAGAGTCGAAAGAGCGCTTTTTATGTCGAAATCTTTTCTTTTCCGTCAACTAAGAATAACAAATAGCGTCAAAGAATGGATAATGGCAGTAGATTTGACATTAACTGGGAGTTGATGGGTTCATTTGGTGGATAGACAGTTTTCTCAACGACATTGCGAAGAGTATAATGAGCTGATTTACCCCAGCAATAGTCTTGATAAATCCGGTTTAGCGAAGAAATGAAATATTGTCCGTTGTGATCACGCCGGCCCTGAAAGTTTAAAAAATATGAAGGAAATAAGATTTCGAGAGAAAAGAATGAAGCTCCACCGGTGGCTCCCAATTTATCACACTCACTTTTTTGATCTGCCAATTTCATTAAACACAAACCACTTCGTATCTCCAGTGTTCTCAATGCTGGGGTGTACTTCAATGGCCTCTGTTATTACATTCCCAACTCCTCATTTTCAGATAACAAGAATATCTATTGGTGATAATTCGCAATCTTCTCAACCCTGCGCTACACCTTCGACAAACTGGTGGGGCGATGGTTTACCTCCGCCTTCAATGAGAACCACAATAAGTATGTATATTTATTACACTACAAATGTGTTCCGCTTTCAGCTAGTTACAATGTTTTGGGTCGATTTTTTCTACTTATTTGAGTACCTTTACGGCATACGTTTTTGCTTTTAAAACAATCTGTTCTTTTTACTAGAAGGATTTTAGTTGGTATTGGAGAAAATAGAGTTAAACTTGTGGTTAAATTCTTTAAATTTTCAAATTGAATTTTTCTTTGAATTTGGTTGAAAAACTAAATTAATTAAATTAATTTAATTTAAAACTTAACCAATTAATCCATTTCAACGTCTTTTAACCATTTTGTCACCACTATCAGATCATCCTCGTCCTCCTCAACGAGTGCTTCGTGAAATCAGTAAGGGACAAACAACGAAAAAAACGGGACATGATATTGACGATACCATTGGCATGGAAGCAAAATTGACAGAATCGCGTGAAGATGGTAAGGATCTGAACTACATATCGATCGGTATTTCCAAATGCCTGGATAATTTTGAACGTAACCGATTGCCGACTTTGGAAATCCCTTCATTTATCTTACTTTATTTATATGGAGCGCAATTTTAATTAACGATACATATATATATGTATATATATATATATATTCACCATCACCGTCAGCAATAGTGTTTCTACCTTTAGGCAGATTCTGGATCCCTTTTTCTAAAAAATCCAGAGATTATGAGTTGATGAACTTGTCGAAAGCCTTTGTAAGTTCTCATAATCGTTGTGCTTGTCGCTTTGCTGAACCCATGGAATTAGTGTAGTCATAGCGAGGTCTAGTGCTTTGCGGTGAGTTGGTAACGATAGTCCATCCCAATTCTCTGTAACCTGAGACTAAATGTTGTCAGGCAAAAACCATAATACAAGTCGTATAGGTCTGTGTTGCTGTTTTCGTTTTGACAGCGGTAGCTCTGCTGTGATACACGGTCGTGATTTTAGCCATGTTTTCCACAGCAGGTATTCTCAGGAGATCGTGCTGTGCGAATCATTAAGACGAGCAGCACCATGTTGAGAACACGCGGATCGAATTTTGGTGAACCTGATGGTCTATTGACCTAGAAACCATGGTTAATGTTATTATTGTAGTCTTGGCTCTCATTTTTTGTGATTTTAATTGGTGACCTCTCTTAGAAAATTTTGTCCTTGCGGCCCAAACAGCAGAGATTCACAGATAAGGATTTGCACCAATCGACGTGGTCGAATAAATTATGAGGTGTTCAGCGAAAACTTAGTTTATCGTGTGCCATTTTGCTGGTTGATGTTCATAAAGTCGAAGCCGATTGCCAATTTGTGGTTGTGTGTGCTTGAGTGGGATGTTTCTGTAGTTTATCGCTTCCAATTTTTCATAGAGTATGATCGGCCGCCTATATCGAGGTAGACTTTGTAATCCGCATAACTTTTCCTGAGACACGTAAACCTGAACTGCATGGTGTTCGCTGGTAGTGGGCAGTCAAGGTGTCCCTCCTTTATCTTCTCGGTGGTTGTTGGTGAATTGCTGCGTTGTATATATCCATAGGTTGTAGTGGTTGTACTTCCCTATTCTCCAATTCCACTTAGGCATATTTCCTTCGCTATGACTAAACCCTGTTATAGCGTGACTTTATACTGGGGTACTTGGATGGCCCGTCTTCACTGGTTGCGCGAGCTTCAGCATGATTTCCATTTCTTCTGAGTTTTGGTGGTTTAGCCATTGTGGTTCCCTGAAGTCCCGAGGTCAGCCTAGGAAAAGTCTCCCTAGGTTCTCATAACCACATCCAGTCGCCGCCCTTGTGGATCAGAGGGAAATTTCCCACCATGCGACTAGTTTGATACCAGAATGGTGGTGGTTCCTGGTATTGGTTTACTCTTAGCTGGGCTTCCTGGTGGAAATGCTGGACTACTCATCTTGGGAGACCTTCCCGGAAGAATGAGTGCCCCCGCTGTACATCATAGCTTGACACCGAGGAACACCTCCCAGCCATAGTGAGGCGGTAGACCGTTTGGAGGGATTGAGAACGTAATTCAAATATAACATCTGAGTACGAATAAGTATGATTGTGAGAAATAACAATTTGGGCAAGAATTGACAAGTGGTATTATTCAGACTTATTGATTCAGGTATGCCTAACAGTGCGTTGACATTATCTGAAATTGAGGAGCGCCTAGCAGCTTTACGTGGATGTGATGTCGAACTGATCCGTCGACCTCGTTGTGTAGGTTGCAGACCTTTTGTACAAAGTCTAAGATATGTTAGGAATATTACTGGTTTGCATTATTTAAAAATAATGGAAAATATCATGAGTTCTTGGTAAAGACTTGGAGTTTCTCTTAAAGCAAAGTTTGACTATTCCTTCTAGATATTTGAGTCTGCTGAAAAATTACGGCCAACAGGTGATACAGTGCAGGGACTCCTGAAAGAGGCCAGAGATTTGGTGGAGATTAATGATAGATACGATCCAGTCACTGAGTTGGAGAGGCGGCATAAACGTCTGAGAGAGGAGGGAGAACATTCACATTCTACAAAAGCTGTTGTGGAAGATGATTCTTCAACACTTGTAGACGGTGCGGAAATAATAACATTTCGATATCTTTTACATTATTGCAGTAACTTGGCAGAGACTCCGTTGTTGTAAGCTTAAAGGCCGATCTGCATGGTTCTACTTCTTCATATACCGTAAATGTGTAAATGTTTGTAGGCCTTGCAACTGATACAGAGGGGCAGCGACTGTCGAAGGCATCAACGGCGACTGCTTTTAGCGAAGCTAGTGCTAAGGAATTGGAGGAAATTAACAGGTCAGTGATTCATGAGAGCTTTCCATTGATCCCTCATTTTCTGTAGATGGAGTGGGAGAAGATTTTTAGACTGATGGAAGATGCTCAAAAGCGAGTAAATGCTAGTGAAGCTGATGAAAAACGCATGGAAAGAGAGATGAAGAGTTTATTAACAGCGAGTTTGTTTATTGTTGTGTACTTATTGTATTTTGAAATATGGTTACAGTAGGGCCACTTGCCTTCAACTCCTCAAAGGTGTTCTTTTTTCAGCCCGTCAAAAATCTTTAGAATTGGAAGAAGTAAATAGACAAATTGGTCAATTTTGGGACAAACAATTGGAGAAGGTGTTGTTATTATGTCGTTATCATTTTAAAGGCAAAATTGTGCAATGTAAATATCAAATGAGTTTGAATGTGAGGCCTAGGAAGTGTCTATAACCTCCTTTCGTTTTTCAGGAATGCATTTCTGAAAGCGAAGATGAATCACTTGATGAAGAAACTGTGAAGAAGATCATTTTAGAGGCCGATCAGACTGTAAATGAAGTCCGTGATGATCAGCCTTCTTCAAGCGCATTGATGTCATCAAATGTGCCATTACCGCAAGTAAACATGCAGTCTTCTCCTAAGAAAGCGGGGATATTCAGTAGGATATTCCGGAGGTAAAGTCACGTTAGGAATGTAGTCATATAGTTACTGAATGTCCCCAACGATTGACGTTGACTAGCTCAATTCATGATCGCTGCTTTTCATACTACACATTACTGACTTTCCTTTCCAGTAATCCCATGACCAGACCACAATTTCTTCCCAGTCTTCCTTTTCTGCAATTTGATTTTATCTGCAAGTTTGACCGTTTTTTCTTTAGTTTGTTTATTTTCATATATCTGGTCTTAAAATAAATTCCAAAGAAACGAAAACTGTTGCGTAACCTTCTTTAAAATTGTTTATCCTTTCACTTTGCTTCTATCCTTTAATTTTCTACCACTTAATTCGACTTCGCAATGAAATTGAGCATTTGGCCATTGTCCTAGTCATTTTGTTTAGCGATGTTTAGTGGTCACATAGAATCGCACTCTTTTCAAATTGAAATGGTTTGTTTTGCCTTTCCGCCAGAGATCACCACACAAGTCCAGATATCTCCTTTTTGCCATTCTACCATCAGACACTGCTCTACTTGTTCCAGATTTAATGTCTTTTTCTAACATATTTTTTTGCACTTGCGGTGTTCATTTCCAAAGTTTTTTATTGTGATAACTTCGCTCTTAAGGTCTTCTCAGTTTGAGACTTCCTCAGCCTTCGTGATACATTTTATATCACATTGCTTGATAGCAACGGACGCTAGTAGTTTATTAATCGTTCTCTAGTAATGTGTTAAATTTTTATTTTTTTGTTGTACAGGAGGTTTACCACGTTTACATATGAAATAGAAGGTATTGCAAAGTGCTGACCATTTGCGAAATGAGCGTGTATAAAAGATAAATGGAGTGATATTCATGTTGATCTTATTCATTCATTTTGTTAATATCAACCTCATCTCCCATAGTTATCTAGGCCTTTTGATATTTGGAATTACGGAAGAAAAAGAAATTGCATTATGCGAAGGTCTTTCATTTTCTTGTTGATGACCTCAAACGGAACTGTTTCTGTATTCGTAAGTGGGAGAAAGACATGGATACAGCTGCTGGTTTACGTAAGCATTGATAATGAAGTTCCGAACATAGAGTACCGGAACCCGGTTAGCACTATGTAGGCATGTAAGCTGTGTAATATACAGAACAAAAGGCTATCATATCTATCTGTAGGCTATCTATCATAGATGTATTGCCTCTGATATTTAGGTAGTACTGCAGCACAAAAATAGAGCAATCTCTTTTTAACAAGTATCTAGCTATACGATAGGTCTTCTCTCTGCTGACATGTGACAGCCGTGCTAGAGCAATTCCATCTCGGTTCCAAAGATCTCCAACGATTGTGGATCAAAGGGAGGTTACACATCATTACTTTGCTTATTTCCTAAGAATGTCAGTTAGTTCTTTAGGAGATTCCGAACAGTACGTTTTCAATTAGCATTACTTGGATAGAATTTTCTTCTTCATGAATGGTCTTTATTCCCACCTTAATTTTTCATTGAGACGTTAGACAGATATTGGATGCTTAATATCCCATAGGTAGTGTGGACTTTTGAACATCTCCATTCGTGTTTTCGTCGTCCAGATGACGTCTGTTGTGTTGATTTTCCGGGAGACCCACTCCATGATCTTCAAGTCGTTTCCTACTGATTTTGCAGATGGCCGAATAGAAGACTGGACACCAACTCATCCACGCCCTCGTGATGATCGCTCCAGAAGACGGTTTCTGCTAGAATCCACTTCGCAGTTCATTCTCTTCACTTATCATCTGCTTTCCTCATTATATGTCTAATCCAATTTGTGTTATGTTTTACGGGATCCTCCACGTCTGAGATCATTTCGCTTCGATGCTGAGGTATCATATGGGTTGCCATATGTCTACTTAGCTTGTGACTTTCACGAATGAGGTCAGCTGTGATGTCATCAGGCTCGGGAGATGCATCTATCTTGATGCTCTTGAGGAGAACTGCTAGAGGGAGTGATCCGCAGTTGTTTTGTGGCCTTATAATGTGTAAGAAGAGTCGTAAAGTAGAAAAGACTTGTGTAAGATTCCTATATTATGAATTTCATACCATGACAAGAATTCCATCCCACTTCATTAAAACTTATAACGAAACATTGTATAGAAACAGGTCTTAGCCCACTTATTCAAGATGGTTATCTCTTGAGCTGCATCCAACATTTTCTTGTCTCTGCGGTTGTATGTCCTCCTGCAAAAGTCTTCCACAGGTGACATGTATTATCAGACATGTTAGCCATGTTGCGGGAGAATCACGCTTTAGTTTTCTTTTCTCCCCAAGCAACTTTGTGGTTGTGGTTTAAATGCAGAATGAGCTTCTTTATTGAAGAATTGGAACATGTTTAGCAAAGTCTTTAAGCATTTCGATAAACAGCTACTCATACGAGGAGTTGGCTTCATTCAGAATACTTTTCTTTCTTCAGCTAACGACAGAATTAAATCTTTGCCCGGAGAAGGTGGTAAGTGAATTTAGTACCGAACACTAATACTGCTCAGTATTCGTGGGTGCTGCGATGCGATGTATTGGCGATGAATTCATTCCCCCAGCAGGGCCGCCCGAGCTGAGAAGGAGTCCGGCGTTTCCGTCAGGAAGACCAGCTAAGAATAAACCAGCACTAGGATCCACTATCCTCGTGGTATCAAACTACTTGCATAGTGGCAAATATCCTTCTGATCCACAAGGGCGGCGACTGTCTGTGGTGTTGACGACCCAGGGTAAACACAATGGCTTAACCATTAAAATTTCCAAAAAGTCGAAGTGATGCCGGGGTCCGCACAACCGTTGAAGAAGGGCCATCCAAGTACATCGCCGCGAAGGTTTTAACAGAACACCATCTGTTTATGAAAAGTTGGTCGTTCTCTGCGCGAGCTGTGTCATTAGGCTTGTCCAGTAGTGACTTTCTTTCTTTTTTGAGAACGGCTTACCATGGAAGAGGTGTACTGCTGAGAGGAGTTCAGCAAGCCGATTTCAATCCTTTTCACTGGCTACTACAGTCTTTTGGGATAATTTGAGCTACAGTGATCCCTGGACCATAACATGGTAGCGTCATGACACATTTGTTTTTGCTATAGAGGATTCTGACGAATTTCTATCCCATACCAAAAGAGAACTAGAACTTTCTGCAGCAACACAATAATTACGTCTGTTAGTTGGTGTTAGTTGAATCTATTCCTAGTTTTTGCGTGTTCTTTACGTTTCCTCTTTCTTTTAGGATCAGCTGTCTATTAACTTCGAAGTTGGTTATGAAGTCTCGTACTTTTGATCAGCAGATCCTCTTAGCGGTCTACCGCCTCATCGCGGCTAGGAGGTGTTCCTGTGTATTGGGCTGCGAAGTAAAGCGGAGGTTTCATCCACCCAGCTGAGTCTCCCAGGCTGAGAAAGAGTCCCACGTTTCTATCAGGAAGCCCAGCTAAGTGTAAACCAATACCAGGATCCACCACTGTCCTAGTATCAAACTAGTCGCATGGTGGCAAATTTCCGTCTTATCCACAAGGATGGCAACTGCGATTAGTGTTGATGAGCTAAGACACACTTTGGCCAGGCTGTCCCCGGGACTCCAGGGAGCCACAACCTAAACCAGCAAATCTCCGAAGAATGGAGATTATGCTGTGGCCCGCACAACTAGTGAAGACGGGTCATCCAACTATCCAAGTAAATAAGGTTAGCAAACACTGGGTGATTATAGAATATACTCTTTTGCTGAGTTTTCGATTCATTTGACCTTTTTAAAAGATTTCGAATGCTACCTTGATTTGGCCAGCTTAATATAATGTTTTCTGAAGCTCATCGTAGTCCACTAAACCCAGACTTCGTTTGTATCGTAGACAGCTCTACATGTCCATCGTCCAATTTTCCTGAGGATGATATCCATGACACTTGATACTTACTTGAATGGCCTGTCTTCACTGTTTGTGCAGACTCCAGCATAATCTCCATTTTTTCAGAGATTTGCTGGTTAGGCCGTTGTGGTTCCCTGAAATCGCGAGGTTAGCCTGGTGAAAGTCTGGCCCATGTTGTCACCACCACATTCAGTCGCTGTCCTTGTGGGTCAGAGGGAGATTTGCCACCATGGAATTAGTTTGATACTAGGACGGTGGTGGATCCTGGTACTGGTTTACTCTTAGTTGTGCTTCCTAATGGAAACGCCGGAATACTTGTCAGCTTGGGAGACCTTTCCAGGGGATGAATCGCCTCGCTGGTACATCGGAGCCCGACACCCAGGAACACCTCCCAGCCACGAGGTGGTAAACCGTTGGGAGGTTTGATGTACGTGATACGTCGCGGAAATAAGTCTAGGGTGCCGATGCTTCACCTATGGTTCTGAAGCGCTCGTCTTGTCGACTCATTCTGCGAGCTTTGGCCTCATTACGACAAGAACACTCAATATCTGGACCACTTCTTTGACCGTGGGGCGATAGCTCCCAACGCACCATTTGGCTAAGGTTTAGAATAATTGTAGTTTTTCCTTCTCAGTACTTTATTAATAAAAGTGTAACTTTCCTTCAAATAGTTCTTTAAATCTTCGAGTGCAAGATTATGAAACAGATTACAAATATTGATCCATTTATCGGAACAAATATTTAGAATGGCTGAAGAAGTGTTATCGGTTTCAAACCACCATTTACACACATTTAACCTCGTCGTTGCCTTCAACGTAAAAAAAAAGGTATTAACATGAAGGCTTAAAGCGAAACCCAGAAAGTCGCTCTAACATGCTTGCTACTGGACTATTGGACTGCTATTTGGAATTGAGCTGTATTTCGTGGGCGTGAAGCAATCATTTTCATCTTGTGTATTTTCTAATTATAAAATACCCGACGTCGAGGAATCCCTTAGAAATTCGAAGTGCATTCCACTTCACTAAGCCTCTTGAAAGTGACTGAATTACCGATTTATCATCTTAATGTTTATATACTCCCAGACAAGTCCGAACACTTCGTGCGTCTGAGGCGCAGGATCGAACCAACGACATGCGTTTGTGTTACAGTGAACCTCTAACTGTTGGGGTGCGCCACTGTATTTATTGTGTGGAAACAGTGATATCGTACTTTTTTCTCAAGAGAAGGAGGGAGGGTCAAATAGTGAAAAACTATTCTGGTCTTTTAGCGACTAAGACGGCTATGGCCTTTAAAGTTAGTTAAGGAGTTCTGAGGAAGATAGCGGGTGGTTAGTGATGCAGTTCATCAGGAAGAGGAAGCAAGGTGCTGGTTCCTTCCTCTCCTCAGCATTCTTCTCCATTCCACGCTGGAACGACTTAGGTCGTATCCCCAATATTGCAAGCAGAATCGATTCGACAAGCATTCTACGATATTCGTAAAGAGGACGAGATTCTCGAACAGTAGCTGAAACAACACGGGAAATGTTCGAGGACTACTGTGGACGATGAATGCGAGGAAAATGAATCGAATGAGGGAAGTGCTTCTATCCGCACAGTAGATATGATGACGGATCATGTTAATAAATAAAGTGTTCTAGAATCCCTTCAGAATGATTCAATTCGGCAACCTTTCTACAAATTATCATTCACAAGGAGTATGTAGATCTCCAGACGGCATTTTTACATAAACAGATATTTGCAGACCACCTACTCACATGGATAACAATTTTGCTACAAATGAGCCAATGTGAGCCTTGAGTATAGGTATTCAGTCGCAAACCATTGTGAAAACATTTCCGGAATTCCTTGCTAAACGCCCCTTTTTTCATCCAGGAAGACCAGTTCGCAGTGAATCATGTTTCTTTGTGTTGCATGCCAACGTGAACTTTCTTAACGACGAGCGTCCGGAGATTTCGTACGATAAATCAGGTGCGGCTGAAGATTTAACGAAGAGATATTCTGGCACACAATGAGGACTTTCTCCATGCTAGGTATATTGCTAAATATCCTTCACTTTCTAGGTAAGTTTGGTCTTATTCCACCTTTTGATCCACTCGGTGAGAAAAAGTCTTGTGGTGGAACTGTGAAGGTTACCTATCAATAATGAATGTTTTGAAGTTTTGCTGCTGTGAACTGACATTGGGATTGCTCCTTCTTCTAAAAAGAAAGAAAGCTAGATGAGTGGAAGACTGTTGGTGCTTAACTTTGTTACATTCCGCTGCGTTTTCGCTCAGTTGCGGAGTCGAATGCCGACATTTCCTTGAGAACAAAAAAGAAACATCTTATTACAAATGGGGCTCATAATGGATCTCTCGAAAACCAAAATAACCGTCGTTTAGAACTTCTACTGACTTTGCTGCTTTTACAAAATAACACCAAGCTGGTTACACAGTGGAACTTTGACGGGCATTCATAGGGCAAGAATTTTGCTTCCGCCTAATTTTTAAATGTCAATCGAAGCGGTTTTCTGGTGTGAGATTTTCTTACGTTAAATCACGATTTTTTTTCTACGGTTAGACTCCTGAATTCCTAGAAACTGAAATCTGTTCTGCTCTTCTGTGCTTTAGCACTTAGGGTCTGACGTGAGTTGATTTCCGCCCGCAGAAAAGAATAAAGCTCTCGGTGTCGTTCAATCCCTGAGGGATGCGGAATTCATACGACCTCATTAAGCATCGTCGGTGGTGACTGAATGCATATCTGGCCATTGCAATGACTCGCCGTCGTCTACCGATATATCCAGTCAGTTCTACTATTCTCCCAGACAAATGTAGAAATTTGCCGACTCTAGGGGAATGGAAAATTTGGTGTGCCTGAGACGCATGGATCGATCCCATGTGTGTTAGAGGGCGCCTACCACTACACTACACGCCAAAATAGCCATTTTCTGAAAAATAGCTTCCTCTCTCAATTTTAAACTGGGAATTCTCAACTGAAAGTGAACCTTATTAATGGTTTAAGAACAGTTGGGATCTATAGATCTTCACCAATAGTGTACAAGATCTATTATCCTACGGATTTGAAATGCTGGACTTATTGTCCCCAGAAATCCTATTTTTGCCACTTTTTTTCTTGAAGGTAGTATTTCGCAGACGAAAGCAAGCAGCAATAGATATTTCGTCGAATACTGTACGGTGACGTCCGCAAATACGTTGTTGATGTTTACGTCTTCTGGAATATCGTTTGAAGTTCTAAAAATTTAGCTCTCGCTCCCACTCCTTTTAGAAATTTTGGTTCTGAACAATTTCAGAAAACAGTTATCGTTTTTAAGGAACCAGTCTTACTCTTAAATAGATGCAGCAAAGTCTTTTTTATGAATTGGTCACGTTTTCAATTGCTGAAATGTTTTAGCTATCGAGAAGTTATCGGCAGTTTGCCAAAAACTGGCTTCGATCCTAAATCTTGACTGTTATAGAGTTCCTAATGTGTTTTGAGGTGACGATTAAAGCAATCTTTCGAGAGATGCTTCAGTGCCTCTATGCGTTTCGATTCCGATGTGTTCCGATGGCCAACCGCCTTTAATGGAAACTAGCGAAGCGTTTCCCTGCTCGAAAGGATGTCCAAAAGGATTCTTTTGCGAAATGCAGGTGATTTCCGGTTTTTCTACATCTACACTAAGTCGTCAACAAATCTGTTGTACAAAATTCTAAAGACTAACTCGTTTTTTCGTATTTATTCTTCCTGCAGAATTTTGCTTTCATTTACCGTTCATTGCAAAGTTTATGAGTTAGCTTGGACTTGGGCCACCACTACTCAACACTTTTTTTGAATTAAAATCTCAAACACTTCTGAAATCATAAGAGTGCTTAGATATGAGCAAAATTTAGAACCTCAGTTGGGGTTTGAACTCTCGATTACCCATGTACCCGGTTCGAAGCCCACCTGTGATTCCGAGTTTTGCTTATATCTCTGCATCCTTTTGATTGTATTTGCATAATACCTTGTCATGAGAAAAAAGAATAGGCATTAAATAAAAGTTAAGACAACGCGAGTTCTGAAGCACCTTGAATCAGGCCACTTGGTTGCCGAGGCTCTTCGACTTTTGTTTTCGACCCAGATATTTCTCTCGCGTAGTGATGATCATGTACCTCACTCATTTTAATGACGGCAACGTCATCGTTGGAGATTAACCCCGATTTAGATAGCCAATTTAGTCGGGCTTTGCTCAACCATGATGTGATCGCAAATCTCCGTCCGAACATGCGATGGTCGACCATTTCGTTAAGATTTCCCCATACCTGGGTCGAACACAGATTCCAGTCTTTCAGCAGAAAGCTCTGGGAATGGTTACTAGATCATTTGTCAAAAAAGGTCCACAATGTCGACTTTGACATAACTTCTCAACTATGTTCTGGTACACAGCAGAAATGAGGAATGATATGGTTTCATTTTTCTCCCTTTTTTCAAGTGTGATCACATGAAAACAATGATGGTAGCTTTCGATTCATAAAGGATAAAGGATAGCGTTGATCAAGTCCTGTGGGATGCGCCATGTATTCGACTTCAATAAGCATCGTTGGAAGTGATTAAATGCATATCTGGCCTTTACAATGACTTGCGGTGACCTGCCGATGTATTGAGCCAGCGCTGCTATCCTCGCAGACAAGTCTGGTACCAATTTGGCGACCCTGGAGGGTTGGAAGGCTTAGTGGGTTATAGGTGCGGGGATCGATTCCACGCGTGTTTTGCAGGACGCCTCCGACCACTGCGCCACACGCTCCTACGTTAAAATGTTCAGTGCTGTTGAATCCTACAGGAATATTCCATTCATTCCGATGCATTAAAGATCGGTTAGGTTCTGAATGCATATTCGTCCTATTCATTGAATTGTGGTGGTCTGCCAATACATAGGCGAATGTTTTTATCCTACAAATTTGGTAGGAATGTATCGACGTCGAAGGAATAGACGACTTGGTCTGTCTGGTGTTGGAGGTCGAACCGCTGCACTACACTTGCCTGCGAAGTTTTATAACGACACTTGTTTGCCAACTTAAAATGTTTTCACTTGTTTAGATACTTAAATCCTTAGTATCCATTTGTTTTGCGGGTCACCAAAGGGTAAAGGAATAGAGCTTCTTGAATTGATCATTCCCTAAGGAATACTTCACGTACTAGAGATCATAAAGAGGTGACTGGATGCATATCTGGCCAGCAGAATGACTTGGAAGACCCTGGTACCAGCTTGTTGACCTCGGAGGAATAGAGGACTTGGTGATCCCGTGACATAGGGTCCGACCAGAAGAGATCACATGTGCATTGTTGCAGGGTATCTTTAATCACTGCACTACATACGCCATTACATAATAACTATTGTTCCTAAAAGATGTGAACTTCTAAAATCATGAAAATAGGGTGCTTAGAATCGTAGTAGCCTACGCAACCTTATGAACTAAGTCCTGATTTAAATTAATCGATCTTGTTCGCCTAGTTCTGTAAAAAAGCAGGAGCTTTGAAAAATACCTACAACTAAGTAAAGCTTGATATTCCTTCTTTGGTCCTTATTTTAACAAGCGGTCATAGTCTTATGATTGGGTAAGCAAATTGCAAGCATAAGTGGTCGTGGAAATCTTTTAGTAAACAGTTTAAGCTTAAATAAAGACCATATCTAAGCATGTGATATGCCTAAAAGTTTCAAAGTTTACGAATAAACCTTTTAGGACTCTTTACAAACACCATCGATGGGTATATGTTGCGCGAATCGAACCGAACTCCTACTGCTTTATGGCTTGGACAACAGCGCACATGCAGATCCAATTTGGGAACGTCCTTGCTCGCCGGAACAAACTACCGTTACGGTCGCCTCTACGGATATTTCTATTGGAGAGTCTCTTTCGTCTACAGAAACAGCACCTTCCACTTTCACTTCCATAAATGAAAGATTATCAACATCTTCTCTGACCTCTGCACGTACTGAGCACCGCAATAATCCTCAGCAATTACAAGATGGTGGTACAGACTTTGATAACGAGTTATCAGAAGCGAACGGTGACATTCTAAACCAAATTGGTTCAGTTTCGAGACAGATTGTGACTACCAAGGATGTCATCGATTCAAAAAGCGACATGAATCGTCTAGAGAATAGATTAACCATTGATGAAAGGACAACCAAAACAGAACCTAATCACACGAAAGTACTTACGAGCATCGCTGGAGAAAACGGAGCCGATATATTAGGTGAACTAAAAGTGATTCCTACAGGGTTTCCTGTTCCTGCAAGTCTTCCCCTGAAGAACGTTATGGAATCGCAAAAAGGTGGAACTCAAACGTCCTCTGAAAATGAAATGGAGAAAGAACAGCATATTGGCTCCACTACCATCTCTCCCATGGATGTAAATGTTAATGAAGAAGACAACCATGTGAATCTCGAGGTGGAAAAGAAAGATATGGAAGTTACTGGAAATGAGGAAATGCTCCAACAAACGACAACAGGTAATGAAGTTCTAAAACCTCCAACAAATTAAGCTGACATCCAGAATAACAAGCTAAAATCATTGCTGGAGACAACCGCAGTTGTCGTGAAAGCGGAACGATTACACGTGGCACACAACCTAACACACAATACTGTCCCACCGAAAGAAGGTCTAACCCAACTGTGTATTTTAGAGGCTAAAAAAGTCAACGGTGTTCTGTCAGAAGTCGAAAAGCAGCAAACAACATACTCTTGCGGAAGACAAAAATACAAGTAAGACAATGGAAAATATAATAATAGTTATTCATGATATTTTATCAATGTTAATACTATAATCATGCAAGCAAACAATACTTGGATACTTGGACCGCCCTTGTTCACTGGTTGTGCGGTCCCCAGCATAATCTCCACTTTTCGGAGTTTTGCTGGTTTAGCCATTATGGTTCCTTGGAGTCCCGAGGTTAGCCTGGCCAAAGTTTGCCCCAGGTCGCCTTCACCACTGACAGTCGCTTACCTTGTGGATCAGAGAGAGGTTTGCAACCATGCGACTAGTTTGACACCAGTTCGGTGGCCGATTCTGGTTTTGGATAAATAATAAATGATAAAGCAAAATAACAATAATGCAGTAAATTATAGCAAATCATTAGTATTAATGTTTCATTATTCATTTATAATATTTTAGCATTTGACAACAATATTTAATGATCATTCCCACCAAGATTAAGCGAATGTCGGTTTAGTAATAGTAACAAATAAGACATTTCATAATCGGTTGTGAATTCACTACTGCTGACGTGACACACTGATCCACTGGGTCAAATTCATGAAAAAACTGGATTATCTGAATCGATTTGAGTGCCAGCAGTTTCCAGGTTCTTTTGTCGTTCTGGCAAAACGATGACTCAACCCACGATACGATGGTATCTGAATGAGAACGGGCACTGCGAATACTATCCATGGGGATATTGTCCAGGTCAGAGACCACTGAATTGAACTGTCATGGAAAAGTATTTGATAAGATGATTTCGGTAGGAGATCGAGTAGTGCAATCGTCAACAATTCGAACGAAAGCGGAGTGCGAACAAGAGTGCAAACCGAGGATAAAGGCTGAATCGACAGAGAATTTCAAAAAGTCCTCAAACATCGGTGAAGATCTGAACACTCTCTAAATTTGCTCGAGTTTGATTTCAGAAAAGCGTATAAATCGCTGGTAGAAAAATTTTTTTAGCAAACAATCTTAATATTCTTACATAGATTCGGTAGCAAATGGGGAAAGGATTCTCCTTCAGTTGTCCCTTGTGTTTAACACTTATTCGGATTTTTCTCTCTGACACTAGCAAACATTCGTTAAGTTTCATCAGCGGAATTTACATCACTGCAGTGTTACCGTATTCAAAATTACCGATTAATTGTTGTTGTGACGCATTCATTAGAATGATTTTCCATCCCCTCCCAGCGGTTTACCGCCTCATCGTGGCTGGTAGGTGTTCCTAGGTGCCGTGCTTCGAAATACAGCAGTGGAGACTCACCCCTACCAGGGTCTCCCAAACAAAAGAACTCCGACGTTTCTATTAGGAAGCCAAGCTAGAAGTAAACCACTACCAGGATCCGCCACCGTCCTGGTATCAAACTAGCCGCATGATGGCAATTCTCTCTCTGATCCACAAGAGCGGCGACTGCCTGTGGTGGTGACGACCTGGTGCAAATTTTGGCCTTGCTGACCTCGGATTCCAGAGATACACAATAGCTAAACCATCAAAACTCCGAAAAATGTAGATTATGCTTTTCAGCATTCACCCTTCGGTGTAGTCCAAGTGGCGTCCCACTGTTTCGATGCGAATACTTTTACCGTTTCATATAGAATACAAACTATTATGTGATTTACAACGTAATGTTTAATTTTTTATCGACCAAGTCTAAACGGTTTAGAAAGCGAAGTTACTTGTTGGTGAAAATCGTCTAAAAATTTTTGAGCTTCAATGCTTCAAAGGCACCGTATCATAATTCAGCGGTTCTGAACACATGAAATTGTTGGAGAACGGAATGAATCTCGATGTCTGATTCTCACATGATCTGCAGAAGCTGAGATGCAGCTGACCTTTGGTTTCGATATCTCTTTACAGTTGTTTTTTGGATTTCGCAGACAGGAACATTATGTTTCATATTGCTGTCTGGTTTCTACGGTAATGGTGAGGCAAAAGTCTAGGGATAACGAGGAGTGACATATTAGATTGTGCATTAACATAACAGAGAATTACCAACGTTATTCTCTTACTCTGATTTAACTGCGACCGATAACGTAGGTGGTTTCACCCAGGTGACCAAACATAAGCCCATTTCCTAAACGTCTTATATTTAGTTAAATCTAATCACAACAAAAGAGGATGGATCTGTGTTTTATTTCTTATGATGCGACCTAATAAAATGTAGGAATGCTTCCAAGCGTTGCTTGTAGCACGGTGGTGAGAAGTCCTCCCCAATATACACGTGGTCTTTGGTTTGATCACACAACATGGGACCAAGGATAACCAATCTCTCCGTCCCTCCGAGTTCGGGAAATTGGCACCAGACTTGTGTCCAAAGAGAAAAGCACTGACTTGATACATCGGTAAGCCACTGTAATTCAATTGTGCAGGCCATATATGCATTCAATCATCTCAAACCAGGCTTGTTAAAGTCGAACGCATGTATTATTCCACAGAGATTGGTCAAGGCTTAACATTTTGTCCTTTTGTCGTTTGCTACCGCAATGGTTTTGTAATGAAGAATGAAAGATATTAATACTTTTAACATCTTCGCTGCTTAGAAATTTGCCAACTCACCGAGCGATTTCAGGTGCACCGGTGAACCGGGCGGCGATATCAATCGATAATGATACTGAATTCAATAGAAAACCGATAGAATTGACTATAAAAAGTAACCACACTGAGGAGGAATATGACATGAAAGAAGAGTTTTCTGATAACAGAATTTCTAATGAGCCCACTATGGAATTAGTCACTGTTGCTCGCTTGGATAGTGCTGGTAACTCGACGAACTCTGATGATGGTCTGCATAAATTAGGGAAGCAAAAGGCAGTCAGCGATATCAGGAGTGATAGTGAAGAAGAAGTACTTACTTCCCAATTAAATGGGAACTTATCTGTCAATGACTCTCTTTCGAATGAGAAAAGCTCTACTGATGGACTGGAATCGAAATCAGAGAAAGAAGCCATCTCAACAGAAGAGGAAGCTTCAAGTGATGAGGCTCTCAGCAAAGGACAACACTTGTCTATTAACGATGGAGGTTCATCAGCACTCGGAAACTCAGAGAATCAATTAACCACTCCAAATTTTATGCCGAACGCTTCGGAAGAAGACCATTCGACGACTACTGAAGGAGAAGTCGTACGTATGAATGCAGAGGAGCAGACATCAACTGAGCCAAATAGCAATGTCGAAGCAGAGGCACAACTGAAATCTAATCTTTTAGAAGATCTCCCAAATGAAAGCGAGTCTGACAAAGCAGAAATGACAAGTAGTTCCATGACGAGTTCAGCGAAAGCTATGCTTGATGACGAGGAAACCCAAAAAGGACACGATAAAGGTATACTGGAATAACTTTTCCAATTTCCCCACCAGCCAAATGATGTTACCAATAGTTTTACCAATTCTTTCTGTCATATGCCCAGTCTAGAGTTTTCCAAGCTACAGAACTTCGCGCTTATTTTGCGAGAAAATCAAAAAAGGAAAAATTAATCTGATCAGGAAATAACGTGATGGTTGAACCCTTCCCCCACTCTATAGTGCTAAAGGGAAGACCACAGGAAGTCTTTAGATCTGAAACGCACTTTTGCTTTTTGAGAGAAGAATGCAGAGATGATTCCAATAAAACCAGTAAACTGCAGAACAATTTCTGTTTAACATCACAGAATTTCTAAGATCTTTGTCTCAGCTTTACTTCGCGAGCATAGCGCCTAAAGGCAAGTGAAGTGTAAATAAAAAGTACCGTTGATAGTTAAGCAAAAATGGGATTTAAATCTAATTTGCTCCCTATCCTTTTAAAATCAATCACGAAGATCTTCGCAGTGTTTAGTTTTTGCTACTGTGCGTGGAATCATTTGCTTTCGTCTAGCTAACGTTGTAACCTGTTTACCTGTGTCAATATTTGCTTTTACTTGTTTCAATATCTCTATGTTTAATTAAAGGGCACATATGGCGCAGTGGTCGGAGGCGCCCTGCAACACGCAGGTGAAATCGATCTCCGCGCCCATGGCCCACCAAGCCTTCCATCCCTCCAGGGTCGGCAAATTGGTACCAGGCCTGTCTGAGTGCAGCACTGGCTACATCGGTAGGCCACTGCAAGTAATTGTAAAGGCTAGATATGCATTCAATCACCTCCAAACAGTGCTTAATGAAGTCAAATGCACGGCGCATCCCTCAGAGATTGATCAACGCCGAGAGATTTATCCTTTTATCCTTTTTTATGTTCAATGTGTTAAATATTCACTCCATGTGCTTTTATTATGATACCAGTGACGTAGAAATCTTGGTTGTGACGTTTCATATCGAGACGCCTTTTACTACATCTAGCTGTTTTCATGAGGATGCCTTCATGTTCTAGCATCAAATCCACTGAAGGTTCCACAGAGGATAGAATAATGTTCTTACAAATCTATGTAAATCAAAAACGATTTTTAACTAATGAACCATACGATGGTTAAGGGGTCTGTGGTTGAGGTTTGATTCATCGTCTACGGACGATGAGACGCGCAGAAATTAAAGCCATTAAAGCCAATGCAATCTAAACATATTAATTAGTCTTCGATATTCCTGTTGAGCAAACGCGAGGATACTGATTAGTTCTGGTCTACTTGGTTCCCATGTATGCGCGGAATATAATAGGTGCAGCTCGCATCGGACATGACACCGGGTACGAGAGTTGCTAGAATTCCAGAAGTGCTATGCAAACAGTCCACGTACAGATACCTATGCGAAAGTGGTATGCCATCACAGTTCGTCTACAGATGGGCAATGGACAGTGGAAAATGCCAATCATTTGCATATGGATACTGTCTGGTAGGATTAACACTTTTACCCTGTAGCTGCTGATCATTTCATCGCCTGTTGAATATTTCGTGTTCAGTTTGAATGGAACCACCCTCACCCACGTACAGCCGAGGAATGCGAGATGTTGTGTAATTGAAAGTCACACTATTTTCTTTTTTGTAAATAAACAATTAGTTATCGACTGTATTCAGCTGTGTTATTACAGTGGATAACAATCACCAAGTAAGACAGTGAGTCAGTCGCAGCTAAGGAAAACTAACTTTTTGGCAGCGAATTTGGTCCTTTGAGAATTAACAATGATTTCTTAACCACTGAAGGATTTCAAGAGCTCGGAACTATGTTGCTATATTGAAGTGAATCTGTTCTATCGCATCTATTGCATATATGATCTTGATGTAGTGACCTCGCATATTTAAATACGTTTAGAATTAAAATTTTCAAAAGTTTACAATGAAATTTAACTTTTTAAAATTTCCAACGGCAGAGAGGTGGCTGGAAACATAAGCGATGCAATGAACACAATGATGTCATGAGTGACGAAATTTCTACTATTTCTCTTCGTCTTAAAAGTCTTAAACCAATAAAGTGGAGTCGGTGTATGGCCGATAATTATTTGATGATTCTAACGGTGAGACATGATGAATGCATGTCAAAAGTAGCCTTTTTTCCTGTTGCATGACTCCTATAGAAGTAACGTCGTATCGTAGTGGTTAAGCGAACAATGTATGCGGTGTTGCTGAGACATTCGCCAAACACTGGACCCCTGGTGTCTGCGATGGAAACCGAACATGCGTAATTAGCCTTTTCGGGGACTAATGTGTTTACCACCACACCATGCAAGTCCTTCGTTTCGCCTGTCAGTCAGCCATGGTATTGACCTAAAGGGCTATCAACAGTTACCCGTCAACGGGATATGTACAACATTGGAGAGAGAGGTTCAATTGAAGAACGGCAACTTTGATTTTTGATCGTTGTGGCAGACCGGGGCTTCGGATCCTATTCCTTACTTGTGTGGAACGGGTACTCCTAGCATCGTCCTTTCGACTGCGCGTTCGATAATGCTGAGTGACCTTTCATCCGGCTTACGCAGCGACCAGGTTTCTGACGCATACGTTAAGGAAGTACTGCTAAGTCGAGAAGTTGGGCACGGAATCGGCTGCTCTTTTTTTTCTTCACTACATCCTCGATGCTCTTGAAGATCCAGCTCGATCCGTGGCGAAAATGCTACCTCCAGAACGAGAAAACGAACAGCTGTGGACAATCGACTCGGATCATCAGCTCTTATGCAGACGAAACCGTCGAAACGTTAGCCGAAAATAGAGACTATTTATCAATCTCGTGTAAGCTTATCAAAAATAGAACACATATTGATTAGTCGCATCGACATTAAAGGAAATTCGGTTTTGAAATATGGCCAAGCAAATAGCTTCGAGTATCGTTATCATTCATGTTATATTCTTGTCCGTGAGTTCGAACATTATCAGGCCCATATTCTCATTGAGTACTAATTGGTCAGCTCCAGCAGTATGTTTATGGAGCAAAATGGATTGTTCGATCAGGACAATTTATACCCATTAGGGTGTTGGAAGAATTCTGCAAAGTTCGATCTCTGTCCGATTTTGTTTACTTAAACGTTGTGCCAAATTTATTTGCCAAAATTGCAAGTGCTTTCTAGAATTTTCGTTATGGTCAACAGAAACGACAACCATGTGTAGGTCGTAATTACAACAACAACAACAACGGCGTGCGGCTTTTAATCAGTCCAGTCTACCATTTACACTCGGGTAATTCACGAGGATTCCTTTCAACAGCTTCCAAGAATAATGTCGTTAGCGATTACACTGCAAAGGATGTGGGAGATTCATTCGGGAGGTAGACTACTTGAAGATAAATCTCGATGAGGGCGTCAACTCGCCTTTGGCGGCAACGCACTGTGAAAATTCGTCTAGCAGGAGTTCAACACCACCGCAAGGATCCCACCGGCACTTACCCGCGTTTAACTTCTACGTGCTCACAGAAAATAATTCTTTAAATAGAGATGGGAATTAGTTCCTCTATTTAAATTACAAAATATACGTCTGCGTCCACCCTTTGAGGTGTCGGTTCCCGGTGCCTACACTTGATTTAATAGGAGGCATTGTTCAATGTGCTGCTGTGGCTTCACCGCGGAGCGCGCTACTTTTCTAACCAATGCTACGGTTTCCATACTTGCCTACTCTTTTCAATTGATAGTAGTCATAGCATAAATTGACCTCCTAAGTCAGCAAAAAGAATATTTGAAAATTTAGAAGAAATGTTTACAGTGCTACGCACTTATCGGATTAGAGATAATAGGCAGGAAACAAGCGATAAAGAATGATAGCGGCAACGAATATACTTCTTGGGATGAGAGAAGTTCATTTTTCTGCTGTGTATCATTGAGATTCTACCGACAATGAAAGCCGCCTCACTATTGGGACGAGAGTCTGTGAGACACATTTTAAAGAACAGAGACTTTTCCAATAACTTATCGAAAGTAGAACACCACGAACATTTCCTTCAGAGCAGTTTTATTGCCCTTTTTTCTGCAAAAGAAACAAATAGCACCCTGCTCTTTTGCGCTCTTCTTGTTTCACAGTTTTTGGCAGAAAAGTAAATACGGGAAGCTTGCTGGACTCAACCGTGATACGGATTTAAAGATGTTTGGTCTCCCGAGTGGAAGCTCCATATTTCTTCTCGGCTTGGAAAACTTTGGTAGGAGGAAACTTTGCCGTACATTGCGGTTTGAGACAATGGAACATCATTACGTAATGAGAGGAGGCAAACTAGTGGAATGAGTCCATGCCACGCTTGTAAAAATTCTTCAACCGACCCTCGCCTTTAACCTTAGGTTATATTGTGAAAGAAATCCATTGCATACGTTTCAAATTCCAGAATAATCACACATAGATTAGTGATAGTACTCCTAAGTGAGAAATAACTAACTTTGAAAATTGGATGTTAGAGCGTGAAGATTAAGGATACAACAGCAAGCGACAAACAATACCACATACGGACTGTATAAAGCGTTCGAGAGACTTATCTACTTTCATTTTTAGTTATTTCTATACTTTATGTAGAGTTTATTAAAGCAAGAAAATAGTGCCAGGATTTGAACGACAACTCCTACTACGAATCATCTCAAGCACTACTAAGAGCCGTTAGAACCCGCATATTTTTCGCCTATAAAGCACAAGTTTATTCACTGCGAAAACCTAAGATTCTTAAGCTCCGAAAGCAATAAATTCTTAAAACATATTTTAGAAGTTCCACTGCTGAAGATTTTGCTGGCTACTTGTCATCGAAATGTTCGATGAAAGTAGGCTGATTAGCGGGAGGTCTAATGTGTAACATTTCAATTCTCCTCTGCATGGTGTAGGATCCTGTACGGATATGATATGCTCAACTACCAATGCGGTGGCCGCAGCAGGATTTCCAAGGTTCTCATTAGTAACTGAACACGCTGCTTTAGCGACGAACCGATTGAATTGATTAACTCGCTTATATTCTTGAGCAAGAGCGCAATCGCAATGGCGTAATTTGAGCACAACAGTGGCGCTAACTTGTCGAAAACACTATTTTTACGTCTTTGGAAGAAAACCTCAAAAGCTCTGCAACCAAAGCGAGTGCATTTTTGAAGAGCAATTTCGCTGCTCAATTGAGTTCCGCTGAGTCGCAACAATCGGTGGCCTAGTTCCATTGGTGAACTTTATCGTTCATCATAGTGGAAATAATGCCAAAATTTGTAGAGTTATAAGCAAAATCATTTAGTAAAGGAAGTATCTTAAAAGTCTACAGTTTTAATGCTACAATTCCAAGCTAAGTAGAAGTCTACTTTAAGGTAGTAGACAGTGTGAGAAGATAGAACACTTCTTGCTACTATCGAACCATGATTATGTCTGGGTCATTCCCACGGTCGCACTTCACCACGTAATTCCCTATCTAACCTGTTAGCTTGTGATAGAAAAATTAAGATAAATGATAAAAGAACCGCACCAGTTTTTCACTGCATTCTGAAATACTGTTTTCCAATATACATTAAAAACAGGGCAGCTCACGTTTCTTCACTGCGTCGTCTTCCCCTACTACGTAGAACTAGTGGAAAGTGTAGTGAAGTATGCCCACCTTTCCTTGAACATAACGTTTCCAAATAGTGTGTACGGCTGCGGAGCTGATCAGAGCAAAACTTACGTATAGTTTCTTTCATTCACCATGAAGACGGTATCACCTGTATCACCTGTAGTCCCATCAATCGACGAGTAACTCGAGCGGGCGCCAGTTAAATCTTCCATTTTCCCCTGTCACGTGCAAGAGTAGCTCAGAGAGTTCTGCTCTCTCTAGGGACTCGTCGGGCATCATAACCTTCTTCTAGACTCTTCCTGAAGAACTCTGACCATCGGGTCGGTGGTCTTTCTGCAGTATGTTTGACGTCCCGAGGAATCCAGCCACTAACGGCTCTTGCTCATCGGCTATCATTCATACGCATTACGTGTCTGTCCCAACTTATCTTCGACTGTTTGGCGTACAAAACGGCATCTTCGATTTTCGATCGTTGACGCAGATCGGTGCCTCGGATCCCATCCCTTATTTGTGTGAAGCTACTCCTAGCATCGTCCTTTCGACTGCGCGTTCGATAACGCTGAGTGATTTTTCATTCTGTTTAGGCAGCGGCCAGGTTCCTGACAAATAAGTTAGGTCAAAAAGTACCGTTGAGTCGAAAAGATGGGCACGGAGTCGTATGTTCCTTGTTCTCTTCACTACATCGTCGATGATCTTAAAAGCTTCCAAGCCGCTCGTTTCCTTCTGCTTAGCTCTGGAGCTAAGTCGGTCAACATGTTGATTAGACATAATTGGAGCATTCGGAGATATTCTTTCCGTTGAGTGTGAATGGGATATACGAAACCAATGCGTTTCTTATGAACATCGTTCATGAGATTTAGTTAAAGACCAATCTTTCCACAGCCTTTGTCAAAGTCGGCAAGCATACTTTCCGCTCGGTTAATGTTTGGTGTCATAAGGACGATGCCATCATCAAAGCGAGGATGATGCAACTGCCGACCATCAATTTTCTACTCCCATATTGTCCAATTCCAATGTTCACATGACGTTTTGGAGGGTGACGGTAAATAATTTTGGCGAGATGGTATCGCCTCGCCTAGCTCTTCTTTCGACGTCAATGTTAATATTGTTGTAGGATGATGACATCTTGGTTGTCAAATTTTTGTACAGCTCACGAAGAATCTTTATGTACTAAGTAGGGACTCTCTGACTATCAAGGGCTTCCAAGACTGCTTCTATTTCAACTGAATCAAAGGCATTCTGTAAATCGATGAAAGTGAGACAGAGCGGTCTTTTGCACACTCGCTATACTTCAGTGAGCCACGTCACCGTGGGATGTGGTCCATCGTGCTAAATCCTTTTCGAAACACTGCTTGCTCACATGGCTGTCCTTGGCACAGTGTTCTGTCAATTCTGTTTACGATGACTCGAGTGAAAAGTTTGTAGACGACAAACAGCAAGCAGATTAGGCGATAGTTGTCCATATCGTGTAGGTTACCCTTCGTGAACAATAACACCGTTATGCTGGTTTTCCACTGAGTAGAAACCTTGCATTCAGACAGGTAACGTGTGAATAACCGAGCAAGTGTGTTTGCGAGGACTGGTGGAAAGTTCTTTAAGTGTTCTGGTCTTATCCTGTTCGGACGTGGTGTTGTTCGATTTTTCACCGACGAAATGACATGTCGGATATCGGAAGGGAGAACCGGTGGCACAACATATCCACCTCCTTTATTTCATATGACGGAAGGTGGACGTGGCTATCGAAGAGATCCGAGTAGTATTCTCCATTGCCTTTCTGGGCGCTGAAACTGCTCCGTCTGGGCGTCGGAGTGCAATTATCTTGGTCTTGTAATTGGCGAAGCTCCGGTGGGCTTTGCGAATGCTTTTCCCAGCCTCTGCAAGTTCAGCCATCACTACTGCTCTTCTCTCTTTAAGATCTTCCTTTATCGTCTCTTTGTGGTGTTTTGCATGTTCGAACGTTAGTTTGTGGTTGCCTGCAGCTCGTGCGATTCCACGCTAGCGTATCAGTTCGCGTGTTTCTGGAGACAGTCGCGTATTGGTGACTTTCGCACTTTCAGCTTTCATAGCGCTAACGTGAAGATGTTGATTGAGCCGATCATATTCTTCGTCGATGTTATCGACAACGACGTCTTCCCAACAGCCCACTAATGAATTGAATTCGTCCCAGTTTATGGTGGTTCTGGGACTTCGGCTTTCGAATTTAGCTGCTTTTCCATCTTTCCGCGAGAAATAGAATCTTGAACGAAGGAGACGATGGTCTAGTCCCGTGTAGAATTTTGGGACAACGGCGAAATGGGTTAGGCAAAACCTTCTATTTACTATCACGTGGGCTATTTCGTCATGGTACTCCCCATTGGTAGACTCCAACGTCCAGCGTTGAGGGTGGGGCTTCTAGAATTGCGAGTTACCATGGATGGTCTTGGAAATAGTCATGATAAATTCAGATAGGCTCTCACCCTGTTCGTTCCATTCTAATCCACGGGTCCCAGTGTGACGTTTTTCAGTCATTCTTCTTGGCCCAATCTTGACATTGAAATCTCCAATGGACGTGGACATTGAAGAATGTATGGTCTTCTCTGTAAAACTTTTCCAAGTCAGGACGCCTCGACTTCTTCTTCGTCATAGTTTGATGTCGGCGCGTAAACGACGAAGATTGTCAAAGCCGGAATTGATCCACGTCTTTTTAATCGTAAACGTCCGATTCCGGTTGTGAATTATTCGAATGAATCGATGTGCATGGACAAACTCGTGTTGACGAGAACGCCGACGCCGCTGACTCTTCCGCTGTTGCATGTTCCGAGGAGCAGTTCTTCTCCGGTGTCATAGACAGAGTTGGATGGGTGGCGTCGTCTCGCCTCGGCCAGACCCATTCGTACCTTATCCTTCTTGCTTGCATGATCAGTTCTTCTATCGAGGACAGGACTCTGATGCATGCTTGCGTGCATTGTAGGTACAGATCGTTACTTTACTTCTATGTGATTCAGGCAGCTTAGTATGGCGCTGAGACTTTAGCAGCGTCTTTGTACTCATCCTACCCAATCCTGCCGAATCGGGAACTCTTTAGGGGTCAAGCGAATGAGGCCCGTTCCTTTTATCGTGTTTAATATTTTGATACCCACATATAACTTGCTGGGCTCTGAACGTATTGGCTGCATATACTCTTTCGAGATCAGAGGAATGAAGCCCGTTTATTTTACTCCGTTTAGCATTTTTGATACCCACGTATAGCTTGCTGAGCTCTGAATGCGTGGGTTGAGTATACTCACGAGTAAGTTATCAGGCTTCTCCAGAGTGGTCATGGAGATTATTTGTTGGAGGCGACTCCTAACCGCCTCCCATATAGTTCCCAGTCACTTGATTGCAGACTTTTGGCGGAAATGACTTGTAGAATACAAACCCCATAAACTAGAACGCACGTACACACACATGCATGAATACGCTTTCTAAATACAGAAAATATGTGCCACATCGGCCCAGCAGAAACAGGGGATCCATCCCCTGGATCCACCTGCGTCTCAGGAAAACAATGCTCGTTTTTGCTTAACCCCCTGTCCTCTACCTGGGGACGTGCCGCGTAGCCTCGCGACTCACCGGCTCGAGCTCCTTCGTATGAGGGAGATCCGTGGATCGAGACGGGAAAGGAGACTAAATACAGTATTGGCAGATCACGTTTCTTGTGTTGCAACTTCTACATCATTGAAGCTGATCCATATCTGTGATAGCCTCCGAGGGTCCCCAGATGCTTACTTAATTCACCTTAATTGAATTGAGGTAGACCTCAAGAAAGCTGTTATTTCCATGGTAGAGTTATCCAGAACCGCACGAGATATCCCGATTCTGTGCACGGCCGTTTAAAGGCTATCGAAACTTGCGAAATTAAAATGGTCAAATACGACCTCTTTTTTCGAATGAGTGCAAAGATGCGTAAGATATTCTCCTACTTGACCGTAGTCTAAACTTCCAGGTCACTATTAGATCCGCAGTGAGATAAACAGAGCGTTTAAAAATTTTTGTTCGTAGTATACCGTATGGAAACTTAAAAAACGTGATCTAAACATGCAGGGATGTGACTTTGGTTCAGAACAAATGTGAAGAAATGAACAAATAATGTTGACGTTGACGTATTCACTACGGTCAAGTTTATCCATACGATTGACCTAATTGTAACCAATCTGAGTTTTGGAAGCTATTTGCAATTGTGAACAGTATCAAACTGGTTCAGTTCTAATTTTCAAATAATTGATGAAGCTTATACCGATGTTCCAGATGAGGAAGAAAAGTAAGACTCCAAATTTAAGCAAACATTCGGCAAAACGTGAAGCAAAAAAGGAGAAGGCGAAGGCAAAAGAGGCAAAGAAGAAGACCAAAAATGAGAGACAGAAGAAAAAAATCAAGAAAAGAGTGGCTGCTATTCGTTCGATGGATTTATCTGAATTTGTAAGCATTCTTCAAAGACATGCTAACCGTTTGCACCTCGTAATGTCGTTGTTTATAGAAGCACGATTTCTTAACAAAGTATTCATGTTGTTGTTCAAAATCGTCTACGACTCACCTTACGAACATATGTGTAAATGACATAAACATTTGAGGTTCAAACTGAGCAGGAGGATTCATCGTCATCTGACGAGTATCTGGGAAGCCCTGACACTCCCAATGAGCAGAGAACGTCGAGCGCGTTGCAAGTCGCTCGAGTTTCAGAGAAAAAGGTAGGGAGAAGTCATGAGCAATGACTAAACAATCGGTCTCTACTGGTGTTACAAAAAGAACTCTGTGAAGGAAATGAAGCAACTTTTTAGAAACATTGTTGAAATATTAAGAGGATCTAAAAAGAAAGACATTTTCTATCTTATTAGCACATCAGCCTACCAAACATGTATCACACCTGAAGATCCAAGTACATCCTGCAACTGATTCGTTTCTCGCTTTCAACACACCGAAATTCTTTAAAATTTTTACGTTTGTATTCGGCTGCTAATTGTGGATTGTTATTTTCGTTATGAATATCGTTAAATGCTAGTCAAATCGAATCCTGAGAAAGTCAAATCTCGTTGAATGTAGGAAACCACCTTATTCTAGACAAGTCTGGCACCAATTTCCCGACCCTAGAGGGATAAGAGGATTGCTGGGCTCAGAGCGAAGGCGAACTGGAATTTCCGTAAAGGTTGTCCGAATTATGAAGACGATCATTAGGACTGCGCTACCCGCTACCGCAAAAAGTATATTAGGTGGAAAAAAAGAAGAACTTACTATTTTTGCTGTTATGCGATGGGATTATTTAGGCCATCGGGCATAAATAGTAGTTTGACATAAATAATAATATTTTGTGCCAATAAGGTGAAGTTTGCTTTTAGAATTTGCAACTCATTAAAAATTCAGGTCCAATTTTCGTTAAGAGTATTTGCTCACGATGATTTTATATCCAAACATTGAAAAGCCATGTCTCATTAAGGTCTTACCCGGAGCGTTGTTGACACCACCACCATTGCCTAATTGCTACACAGAACGAATTCTTCAAGAAGAACGACCAGACCTAGCGGAAAACGGACGATTCAAAATGGAGGTAGTCTTTGGATAACTGCCTACTTGAACTAACGAGCGGGACTGGATGCCTTGAAATCCTGTAGTTGGGATACAGTATAAAGTCGACGAATCCAGGGTTTATATGGGATAAAAACGATAAAGCTTTCGGCATTGATCAATCCTGAGGGGTGCGCCATACATTCTACTTCATTACATCTTTGGAGGTAATTCAATGCATATCTGGCTTTTACAATAACTCACGGTGCCTTGCCGATCTATCAAGCCAGTGCTGTTATCTTCGCACACAAATCGCCCTGGAGTCTAGAATGGAGGGTTTGGGTGGGTCTAGGAGGCGGGATCGATCCCATGTGTGTTGCAGAGCGCCTCTGACCACACGCAACCCTGTTGGTATACAGCGATTGAAAATTCAACATTTTGCTGTCAAACAAAAGAAGAAAACATGAAAAGAAGTGGTTCATCTTATTCATGGCTGTTTCGCTTCTCCATTCTAGAATTTTCACTAAAGCGTTTTTTCCTGAAAATTTCACAGAGAGGAAATCCTCCATAAAAACGGCTTATAGAGAGGAAATTTGCTGTGAAAACTATAGATGAGAGCATGGGTAAACCTCATTCGTGTACAAGTACTAGCTAAAAAGAAAATTCGAGACATTATGGTGTGAGAGCGTGCAATTCCAGCTGTACGAGCTCGATCTTCTTGACAAATATCTGCGCGATCGAGCTGAGCTACAGACAGATGACGTAATCGTTATCGATAACAGGTACGTGATTTTCCTGCACCTGAGCTCTTTGCTGTACAGTGAGCAGTCTGAAATAAGACGCATTGATTCCAATACATCTATTTTTTAATTAAAAAATGAAATTCATCTAAAGAAACAGTGAATAAAACGCCTAGAGGATAAATAAGAACAGTGTTTATTTCAAAGATTCCATAACACGCCTTTACATCTTTTCTTCTACCATTGCGGGATAGCGGTTTTCGAAACATCCAATCCCTACTTTCAGAAACGGGGTTTCTGAGACTATTCTTCGTTTTTGAAGCCTAAATATCGAACGCTTCTTGAAGTGTGAGGGCCTTGCTAGCTTTTTAGTTTTAAGGTGGTGAATCCCTTAGTGTGTTCGGGCTTGAATGCACTAGTGAAGTGGTGAAAGGTAGAATGACATATTGCTAATGAATCAGGGAAATGACTACTACGTTCAGCCAAAACGAGGACGATCGGTGTTGTTGTCGTTACGAAATTCAACTCAAGTACAACGAAGGACGTTACTCAAGCATTTACATCGTTTCCAAAAAGGTTTTCGGAAATTGTTCCAAAGAGTGAGCTTTCCAGAGATTGTACCAGAGAGTGAAAATTGTACTTGCTGGAAAGTCATGACAGATCTAAAGTTTTTAACCCTTTAGAGATAACGGAACTGATGCCACTAACCTTTTTGCGTTGAAGACGGGTATTCGGAATGGTAGTGCTAGTCTTTCAATACGTATGAAGGTGACGTGACTTTCGGCCACAGCACTTTGAGCAGACCGTTCATAATTTTAGTTATGTGTTTTAAAATGCTTTGTTGTAGAGAGAATTGCGGATACTAGCTACTATGAAGAAAGCAAAAGCATCCTGGGCACCCACACTTTTCGACAGCGGAAGCGTTTGTGATATGCCATTCATCGGTCGGTTAACCTAAACATCTTCTAGAACGACTCCAACATTCAGGTAAAGCTAGCATGATTTAGTAACAAATCTTGTGGATATGAACATAGAGAAACTTCGGGAAATGATCGGAGGAAAATTCAAACCGTCATCGGCATTTTATATCGCTGGTGAAGTGTTAAATGCACTGGTGGTAAGCGTTTTATTCATTTGATTCTCAAGTCTTTAGAAAAACTAGAGATAGAGCAAAATATAGATATGAATATTGCAGAGGATGTTCGTTCATACTTTTAAAACAGACCTTCAGTGAATCTCTGGATCTGGTTAGTGCGCTATTTCACGCCACTCCTGACTCGATGTCACTTTGTCGGTCCATTTGTCGCAAAAAATAACCGTGTTGTACTCAGTTGGTACAAATTGCTATGCCTGTAGGAATGATCATGAGCCCGAAGTGTCAAATACGATATGTGCTTTTAAGCTTTTGTGAGCCCCAATAATCCATGATATTGAGCTAATATAAACTCCATTCATCACTCAAGACGTGCTCATAGCATACCTCTCATTGTCGAGTTCATCCTTTGTGGTAGAATAATCGTTTTTTCTACATCTGTGACCCACATTGTTAACAAATTAATGTGGACTAGCCATCGGTAATTTTAGTTCGAATTGTTATTTTACTTTCATTAGAAAACTTCAGCTGAACTTCATCGAGGCCCAACCACTTGTCGCACGTCACAGCCACCTGTATCACCGTTATCACATGTCGCCTCGTTGATCGCCGAGTGACTCGATCGGGCACCAATAAATCTTCCATTTTTCCTGGTCGTGTACAAGAGTAGCTAAGTGGATTCCGCTCGGGGCTCGTTAAGTCTCACACATTTCCTCTAGGGTTGTCGTGAAGAGCTTCGACCATCGGATCGATGCTCTTCATGCAATACGTTTGACATCCCGAGGAATCCAATCGCTAACAGTTTCTTGCCATCGGTTGTCGTTGGTACACGTTACGTGCAGGTTAAACATGTTTTTGACAATTTAGCATGTAGAACGGCTTCTTTGATTTTTGATCGTTAATGTAAATCAGTCGAGTCGGCCGAGCAAGCAGGATTTCGAAAAGGATTTTGCTTCATGGGCCACATCCAAACCGTGTCCAGGGTCATCGAAGTGTTTCAGGAATACCACTTGCCTCTAGTCTTAACCTTTGTCGACTATGAAAAAACGGCTCGACAGGGCGACACATCGCCAAACTTGTTCAGTGCCGCACTGCAGTGGATAATGAAGTCACTTGATTGGGATGAGAAAGGCATATGTATTGATGGAATATTCCTATAAAACCTCCGCTTTGCCGACGACATTGTCATCTTCTCAAGAAGTACTAGCGAAGCAGAAGTGATAATCAACGAGCTCAACGAAGCGGGGAAAAAGATCAGACTTCGCATAAATCGAAGGAAGACCCAGTTCATGAAAAACCCATGTTGCGAAGGCGCAAAAATTGAATTGGGTGGCTCTCTCATTGCAGGGACCTCTTCGTACGTATACCTTGGGCGATCAGTGCACATGGAAAGCAACATGAAACATGGAACTAAGTAGAACAAGGAAAGCAGATTATGCCGAATTCGGGCCTCTCAAAGAAGCCACCGACCAACTAAAGGACCCGGAAATCCGCGCTCGTCTCTTTGATTCTACGGTCCTCCTAGCGCCCTCTTATGCTGCAGAGACGTGGGTTGATACTTCAACTACGTCAAGAATACTTCGGACTACTCACAGAGCGCTTGAGCGATGTCTTCCGAAATATAACCGGCACTATCAATATTTAGCTGGAATGCGAAGCTCTGACTTTCGAAATCTGTCACATCTTCGAGATCCAGGAGAATATACATCGTTAGGGAAACACAGATGGCCCGATCACGTAATGAAAAAAACAGACGACAGATGGACGAAAAGAACAGTAGAGTGGACTCCGAGAGAATACAAACGTCCTCTTGGATGACCACCTACACGTTGGGCGGACGTGTTTGTAAACCAAGTTAATTAGGTGTACGCGCAGCTGCAGTTGTTTTACAGATCACTGCATGAAACTCTCCGAATGCGAGAGAAATTAACGAATGGTATATGTGCTGTGGTCCACACAGCTCATGAAGGTAAACCGTCCAAGCATCCAAGTAGGCAAGTAATGTAAATCGGAGGTTCGGATTCCCGCTCTCAATTGTGTTATGCTAGGTACTTCTATAATCTTCTTTCCGACTGCACGTTGTACAACCCTGAGTGATCTTTCACCTTGCTTATGTAGCGACCAGGTTTTTGAAGCGTACATTAAAGCATAGTGGCGTTGGAAAGGTATGCACAGAGCCGGGTGATCCTCGCCCTCCTCACTACATCCTCAACGCTCTTGAACGTTCCGCATTCCGCTCACTTCCTACTGCTGAACTCTGAAGCTCACTCGCTTCCCATGTTGACTTCCCGACCAAGATGGACGTAAGTGGGGCATTCAGAGGTATTCGAACAAGCTATGTGTGAATAGCGCGTACGAAACCATTCCGTTCCTCATAAACATTATTTTGCGTTATTTAGCCAAAAGCCAAATTTTCCATATGCGTTGTAAAACTCGGCAAGCACTTGTTCTATCTGACTAATGCTTGGTATTCTAGGAATGAAATCATCAGCGAAGCTAAGTTACTGTGATATTCTACCATCGATCTTTGCTCCCATGTTGTCCGATTTCAGTGTTGCGTGGCCTTCTCGAGAGTGGTGGTAACCAACTTTTGCGAGATGGTATCACCTTGCCTAAGCCTTTTTTGACTCCGATGTCAAAATCATGATAGAGTGGTGATTTTTCGGTTGCAAAGTTTTTCTGCAGCTCTCAAAGAATCTTTATACACTGAGTAGCGATTTTCTGGCCCTCCTGCGCTTCGATGACTCTTTATCTCAGCTGAGTCAAAAGCTTTCTTTTAACCGGTGAAAGTGCGATAAAGCTCTTGTGCTCTCTTGTACTCTTGCGACACTTCAATTAGTCTTGTTATCGTATGGATGTAGTGACGAATTGCACAGTGCTAGTGATGTTCGTCATCACGAACATGGCACTAGTTCGATTCCTCGATTCCATTCCGGGCTAACCAAGCCTATCATCCTTCTGACGTCTGGAAATTGGAACCAAACATGTATGGAAAAAAGTCACTCCCTGCAATCCAATTGGGAACGCTCCAGCTCGACTATCTCAGGACTCCAGGGAGAACTCCTCGTCCAGCATTCTACGACATTCAAGATAAAATGAAAATCCTCAAGTAGCAACTGAAGCCACACATAAAATTTGGAAGATCTTTGTGGACAATGGATACAAGGAAATGAATCGAATGTGAGAAGTGCTGGAATCTACACAATAGGCGTGAAGGTGGGTCATATGAAAGAAATCGCATGGATGTGGTCCATCATACTAAATCCTTTTCGAAACTATGCTTGCTCACATGCCTCTTCCTCGTCTAGTGTTCTGTCAATCGCGTTGAGTATGACAGGAATGAAGAGTTTATAGACGGCAGAGAGCAAGCAGATTGGACGATGGATGCCGATATTGAGGAGGTCGCCATTTTTGAACAATAACACAGTTTTGCTGGTCTTCCATTGAATAGGAACCCTGCATTCTAACAAGGAAAGTATGAACGGCCAAACCAGTGTGTCGATGAGGACTGGCAGAGGGTTTTTCAGGTGTTCAGGCCTTATCCTCTCCGAAACTGTTGTGGTTCGATTCCTCACGAAATTCCACGATAAATTTCAGAGAGGAGAACCGTTGGGACGACCTATCCATTTTTATTTCGTACAAGAGCAAGAATACGTAGCTATTGTAGAGGTTCGAGTAGTATCGTCAATGATTTTGTCTATTGCTTCTTGGAAGCTGCAACTCTTCCTTCTTGGCGTCCGAGCGCAATCATCTTGGTTTTGTATTTAGCAAAGCTTCGGTGGGCCTTAAGAATGCTTCTTCTATCTCTGCGGAATCGACCGTGACTGCTACTGTTCTTTCTTTAAGACCTTCTTTTATCGATTGTCTACATTTCTTGGCAAGCTCCGACATGAGTTGGCGGCCGCACGTGTAGTAGTTCGCGTGATTCCACGCTGGCCAGGGTGTCTTGCGACAGACTTCTCTTGGTGACTTTCAAACTTTCAGCTTTCATAGCGCTAACGTAAAGATGTTGAATCGGCCGATCTGTTTTCCATATAGTGTTATTCAGTAGCAGAATCTTTCCAACGGCCGACAATGATATGAATAAATTAAAGTGTGTGGAGGTTTTGCGATTTCGTTTTTTTTTTTGGAACTGAGTAGCTCCTCTCCTTTCAATGAGAAACTGAATCCCGCGTAAAGGAGACGATGGCTTGGGCACATGTAGAATTTTGGAGCAACAGCAATATCGGTTTGGCGAACCTTCGATTTACTATGATGTGGTCTACTTCCTTAAGGTATTCTCCATTAGGAGACTCATAAGTCCAACGCTGAGTGTGGGCTTCTAGGATTGCTAGTGGTCTCGGTCGTCATGACAGCAGCTCTGACTTACGTTCCATTCTGATCCATAGGTTCCGATGTGGTGTTTTTCAGGTGCTTATCAGGGTCCAGCCTTCCCATTAAAATCTCCGAAGATAACCAAGTGAATGTAAAGTCTTCTTTATAGGTCTTCTCAAAGTCAATAGAGAACGTCTCGACTTCGTCTTCATCATAGCTTGATGTCGCTACGTAAACGACGAAAATTGTCAAAGCCGGTGTTATCCACATCTGTTCAATAGTAGACGTCCGATTCGGGTTATTTGTTGTTGGAATAAGTCGATACTCATGGCCAAACCCATGTTGACGAGCACACCGGTGTCCCCGACTCCTCTACTGTGGCATGCTCCGAGGAACACTTCTTTTCCGTGTCATAGACAGTGTTGGACATGTGGGCTCTTCTCGTCCGAGCAGATGCCGATAACTTTGTACTTCATACTTCTCGCCTACATGATCAAGTCCTCTATCGAAGACTCAGGTGCAAGTAATTGTGCACCAGGGATCCACCTGCGTTTCAGGGTATCACACCACATTGCGTTGCCACTAAGCGGATTTGAGGGAGCTGCGTGGTCTAGGATGCTAAAAACACTAAATTGGCATAGCACATTTAGTAGGTTCAGAGAGGCTTAACGAATACAATACGCGAGAAATCTCTAAGGGATCGCTAAATGTATAATTCTTTACACTTCTTAGACGCTGATTCGAAACCGCTAGGAGTAATACAATCGTCCAGTTACGATAAAAACAATGATGGTCTAGATTTCAGGAGCTACACAGGCATGGATTTGTGCACAGAGATGTTAAACCGACGAACATCTGTGTTGGTGTAGGAGTTCATTCGTCGAGAATATATCTTGTGGACTACGGCGAGACAGTGCGAATAGGAAAGAACATTAAGTGGGAGGTTTTTTCTTATATTTATTATATAACCAGACATCGAATTTCTCACACTATGCGTTTCATGCATTCTATTCATTTTCTCTCCATCCATCATGTACGAAGGTGTTCGAACTTTGTTTGCTTATGGTTTCCCCAGCTGCTTGAGGAATTCTCCGCCTTGGCTACGAATGTTTTTGAATGCTGGTCTAGTCAACTATCCCTAGAAGCCTTAGATAGCAGTGCTAGAGCGCTCCCACCACTTGGAAGACCGTGTGAACTGGTCTCTACTTAACCTCGAACTAATTTCCCGACACTGGAGGTATAGAAGGTAAAGTGGTCCAAGGCAGATAGTGAACTCTAACACTTAAATAGGTTAAGCCATGGA